GTAATAATTAAAAACGTTTAAATGATTTTTTAGATTTATATTAAATATATTTACTTTTTTAGAATTGAGGTACACTCATAAGAGAAATCGTAACTTGCCTACTACAAGGTAAATTAAAATACAAGGTAAAACTGTGATGAGTCTGTGAGGCAAAACTGAAATAGACAGCGAAATCACGATATACTTGCAAGATCTACAAAGCAATAAAAATTTTAGTTTTTTTTTCTTATCATTCATTTAATTTTTTTTTTTGTATCGTTCATTTTTTCTTTTCATATCATACATTTAATTTTATTTTTTTTTTCATTTTTTCATTTTGTTTCATTTTTCTGTTACATTTTATTTTCCTAGTTTTATTTTTTCGTTTCGTTTTATTTTTCTAATTTCATTTTATAGTTTCTTTTCATTTTTTCATTTCGTTTTATTTTCCTAATTTGTTTTATAGTTTTTTTTCATTTATTAATTTTATTTTTTATTTCATCTTGTTCACTTAATTTCATTTTATATTTTCATTTCAGTTTCTTAATTTCATTTTTTTGTCTTGTTTAGTTTTCTTTTCATTTCATTTTCATTTTTTCTTTTATTTTATTTTATTTTATTTTTTATTTTATTTTTATTTTATTTTAAAAAAAATAAATTTTTTTTTTAAAAAATATTTAAGTAAATTAATAAAACTGTTATACAATGATTAACAGATTGTATGTTAAAATAAAATGACTAGAATTTACAAAATAACGTGAAAATATTTTTAGAAAAATTATATCATAGTAAAATTATATTTGTGTAATAAAATCAATAATCATCTACTATGACAAATAATTCATTAACGCTATAATGAATTATTCATTATAGCATTAACAAAGATTCTTATAATAAAGTCCTGATTGGCTATATTGGCAACTTTGTTATATCGAGGTGTGATTGTATATCTGTGTATTTTTAAAATCATATGATAATTACAATATTTTAAAATTTTTTTATTTTACAATAAATAAACATGTCTTTACATTTATAAAAAAAAATTATTTTATTAGAAATCATTTTAATATAAATTATACAATTTTTATATATTAATAAGAAATAAGCCATATTATACAGTTTATAGTAATATTTTATACCTAAATATCTGTCAAAAAGTGTTTAACTATTATTTAGTAACTATTACTATATTTGTGAAATTGTTATATTATTTTAACTTTTAAGTTTGATGAATTTTAAAAATAGTTAATGGGTTTGAAATGGTATTTACTACTATTTTTTTTTTGAATTTTAGTTGAAAAAATTTTTTTTGATCTTCTGATTTGTTTTGGACTGTAAAACTTAATTATTGTTTAAAAGAACAAATTTTTATAGTGATTATGTGATTCTAAAATTATACTTTAAAAATGTCACGTGATATATTTTGTCATCATTGTTGCTTATCAAATTTTATGGATATAACGTGTGTTATTTTCTTTTATAAGATTTTAGAATATGTTCTCAATCGATTATATATTTAACAGAGGAAATATTTACCTAACTTCAAAATCAAGCGAAAAAAACACTTAAGTAAAATTATCATGAACTCACTTACTAGTGGAAACAAAATTGAAATTAAAACTTTAAGAATTTTATGAGTCATAACGTAGAGATTTACAAATAAGGTGATTATATCGCTGAGTATTTGTTGAGTTGTTATATATTTGAAATTACGCTGCCACTAGGTATAAACTGAAGGATTTGAAAGCTCTTTATAATTACAGCTTGCGAAAGTTGCCAGTCAGGTATCTGCTATGAACGTTTGAACTTCGTTACTGAAAAAACTGTACTGGCTTGAGCCCTGGGTTTGTAATGAATAGGATACATGAAACATCAAATTGAAAGTACATTCTTTGGTTCTTGACGATAATGACACACACTTACTTTTTTATTTTAATATTTCAGACCAAGACCAGGTGATGGTGGTGTAGAACTGTTTAGAAATTATGAAAAAATGCAAAAATTGAAACGAAATATAGGTAATATATCAGTTATAAATTAAATATAAATCTTTAATTGATGTTAATTTATTATTTATTTTAGGTCCTAGAATCCTACTTGATCTAGAGGTTCTATCTAAGTATCATGAAAGCACTACAATTGAAATTCTTGTAGTCCCTTTCAATAATAAAATTTACCTCTGAAACAGTAAGAAGATCTAGAACATCAAGGTAAAATATCATATTAATGGATGTTAAAGATTTATACTTGACCTTGTTCAGTTTGTTAAGGAATGACAAATTGATGTTCTTGTTCAGTTTATTGAGGAATGACAAATCAAAATATTTTATAATCTTATTTGGCTTGTTGAAAAATGATCAGTCAATGTTATCTGTTAGGATATTATCAATATAAATTTGCGTCTTGTGAATTAATGAGCTCGTAATTACATGAACTTTTATTATATATTTTTTTTACATTATTATAATTTTATTATTATTATATATAATTTTTTTTAAATAGTTTTATTCTCATATTCTTATTTTTTTTAATCAATAAACTGGATTGTTGCTAATCATCATGAAGAAATCTAATTAAAGATGAATATAAGGTTTGATCTTGATTAATAATTTTCGCAATTCATAATTAAATTGATCAAAATTTTTATGATGTGATCACACATAATTTCCATTGATAAAGAATTCGATTCTTAGACCACTACTGATTGTATAAAAAGAAGTTAGGCTATTCTTTATCTGCTCTGCTTAAAATAAAATTAAATACTAATCAACAAACTTTATACATCTTCAATAATTAATTTCAAAACTGCAAAATGAGAAATATTCACAAATAAAGAATAAGGCATGATGGAAATGTTTGATTATACTCACTAATCACTTTGATTTTGTCATATATGTGAATTGAATTTTTGTTTTATAGATATTATAATTCTATATATCACTTAATATTAAGAAAAAAACAAAGATAACAGTGGGAGATTTTAATAATCATATTATTAAATTTTGATTCCTGAAATTCTTATAAGTGGTAATGTTTACTTTATCTGGTTTTATTACAGCATACTTCATATATAATTTTACTTATTAGATAATGATAATGATAATGATAATTTACTTAATAAAATATTTATTGAATTAAATTTTACAAAATAATTGGTGTAGTTGCTACATATAAAACATTTTATTTTATTTATAAACTATAAACTTAAATCTGAAAATCAAAATAAACTGCACTTATTATATAAATTTTAAAGCTTTTTAACTATATATAATGTGGGTGCAATAAAATCAGTTAAAATGATATGTTAAAAATCTGTGTCAAGTTTATCATGCACTATATCTAATTATCATATGACTATAATATTTATTTATATCATCTTATGGATTTATAAAAAGTTATTTTATTAACATCTGATATATAAAAAAAATATACTATATATTTTTAAAATATACTACTAATTAAAGTTATAGTATTTGATTGTATTGCAATAAATAGTAAATAAAATTATATTATGTTAATATAATTGTTAATCAAAATATCATAAGTTTTACATTGGTCGAAATCAAAAAAATCGGACATGCAAAAATCAGCCTAAAATCAGCCTAAATTCGGTAAATTATCAAAAATCAGCCTAGCCGATTGGCATACATCAGAAATCAGCCAAGAATCAGCCAAAATTTGACTTATTTTATTTATAGCCGATTGGTATATATCAAAATTTGACCTATCTTATTTATAACTGATTGACGTCTGATTGGAATGATTAAATTGTTTCTTAGGTATAATAGGTATTATCGTTCCTTAGGAATGATGCATTTATCGTACCTTAGGTATGACGATTTTATCATTCCTAAGGTACGATGGTATTATCATTCCTTAGGTATGACGATTTTATCGTACCTTAAGAATGATGATTTTATCATACCTAAGGTACGATGGTTTTATCATTCCTTAGGAACAATGGTATTATTGTACTTAAGGAATGATGGTTTTATCGTTCCTAAAGTACGATGCATTTATTGTTCCTAAAGAATAATTGTTTTATCATACCTAAGGAATGATGGTATTATTGTTCCTTAGGGACAACAGTTTTATCGTTCTTAAGGTACGATGGTATTATCGTTCCTTAGGAATGATTGTTTTATCGTTTCTTAGGGACGATGGTATTATTGTACCTAAGGAATGATGGTTTTATCATTCCTAAGGTATGATGCATTTATCGTTCCTAAGGAATGATTGTTTTATCGTACCTAAGGAACGATAGTATTATCGTTTCTTAGGTACGACGATTTTATCATTCTTTAGGTACGATGGTATTATCGTTCCTAAGACACAATAGTTTTATCGTTCCTTAGGGACAATGATATTATTGTTCCTTAGGGACGATAGTATTATCGTACCTAAGGAACGATGCATTTATTGTTCCTAAGAACCAAACTTTCAGATTTAACCGATTGCTAAAATAATATTGATTTAATGTACTATTTGAGTTTATTTCTGGTATATAGGAATATTTATA